CCAACACGCGTAGGGCATCGCGTCGCAGATGCTGTTCAGCGAGGTGACCGTCTGTTTCGCGAAAAAGGTGGAACAATCCTCTCACAGAGGATTACGCGGCCGGAGGATGTCGCAGCTGGCGACATCGCGAGGAATAAGGGGTTGCGCGTCGTCGATGACGACGACGAAGGGGTTAAACGGGAAGCTCGTACAAGTGCGCGCGGTAGCGCAAGGTGGTACGTGTTATTGCGGTTGTTTTAGCCTAAGGCGACCGGCACATGCAGCTCCGGCACTCTCTCGTCGCGGTATCGATTTTGCCGAGACAAATTATCGCCGTCCACAACACGTCGCGTCAATTTCAATCGCAACCGGCTAATCACGTCGAGTCGCGCGTGCTACTTGCACAATCCCAAAAAACTCTCTCTCGATTAGTGATTGCGACAAAAAAGAAAAGTTGCGTCAAAGGCGAGCTCTCTCGCTCTCGGATTTCCCTCGTATTATCCGCTCATAACATACAGCAGCCGTCGTGAACGGTGAATCGCTGCTGCGGAAGCGCATTTTTCCGCGTAATGTTCGCGAGCGAGTCGGAATTATACGCTGAAAGATTGCAAAAACTGTGAAGCGAGTCTTTCTCTCTTTTTCTCTCTCCCTCTCTCTCTCTCTCTGTCTCATTCACCGTCGAGGGTTGGAAACTGCTGAGTCTCGCGGGGTGAGCCCGCGTTACGGAAGAAACGCGGGAAAACTGAGTGGAGGGGACGAGAGGTACGATGGAGAACGGAGGAGGAAGAGGAGGTGGCAGCGGAAGTGGACGAAGAAGAGAGGTGGAAGAGGGGACACGACGGGAGAAGAGAGAAATTAAGCGGATCAATGGCGAAGCCCCGGCGAAACGAAACGCCGGGACCGTCGTCGTCGTCAGCCATCTCCACCCTCTCTTTACATCTCACCCTCCCGCCCCCTTTGCTGCCTCTACCTACTCCACCTTCGCCGCGGCACCCCTTTCGTTCATTCTCTCACTGATCCCTTCCGTGGAGTTCGGAAATAAACACGCGGGATCGAACATTGAAGCTAATTAGAAATATATCTGCGGGAGTGAGAAAGAGGACATGCGTAATTGAGAACAAAGATATAGAGAGGAGAAAGGAAAAATAAGAGGAAAGAAGAGAAGAGGATGGACACGGAGGCTCCAGAGTGGTGGAGGACGCAGTAGATGAGACGCAGGATGAGGGTGGTGGATGAAGGGAGAAGGAGAGAGAAAGAGAAAGAGAGAAAGGGAAGTTAGAGTCGTCGGTACCCGGCTGGTACTACATACGACGACGGGGGAGAATGAGTGAGTGAGTGAGTGAGTGAGTAGGTGGCAGGAGCGACGTCGGCGGGGAGATTGTCGTTCCAGGACGACCGAGGAAGGGGCACGAGGGTGAGGTCGGGTCTCAGTTCAGCCGCGGTGGGAAGGGGAGAGACGGACGACTTGCTCGTTTGCAAGACAAAGAACCCGCGAGCCGCCCTAGTCGTGCATAAACGCTATCAACCACATCTACATATTCCAAACTCTGAAGTCTATCGCGCGCGCGGGAGAGAACGAGAGAAGAAGAGATAAAGAGAGTGACGGAGGAGAAAATGGAGAGGGGGTAAAAGGGGAAGGAGAGCTGGAGAGTGTCAACAGCGTCTAGCCGCGCCTCTTCATAGACGAAGAGATACGGAAACCTTTCGAGATGGCGCGCGCACGCGATCGTCGTCCGGGTCGTGAGCTTTTCTTCTGGAAAGCGCGCTGCGTAGGTTGCGAAGACTAACATAGTAAACTCCGCGTCTCGAGATAAGTTTAGTTTGCGGAAACGGTGTTAAGCTCTTTATAGGATGACGCTACTTTAAAACTCTCCCTCCCCTCCCCCAAGGTCGCGTCTTAAGAACGTTGACAGTCGGCGTATCGACGGTAGAATCTTCGGGGGTAGAGAGTCTGGAACGCGCCGGCAAGAGAGAGCGTTTCGGGGGTGGGTTAAGGGCAGGTGGTAGCGGAGGAACTTTGTAGAACAGAGAAGCGGGTAGAAACCCCTTGACCCAGCGCCGGAGGGAGGCCGCATGCTTGGCTGATTAGCCTAATGGTGAGTCCTCCTCTTATTCTCCTACTTGACGCCAGTTTCGCGAATTTCTCTCTTCTCCTCTCTCTCTCTCTCTCTCTTTCCGATATCATTTTTCCTTCTCCGTCCTTTGTGGGAGGCAGTCTCTCTTGTTCCTGAAGGGGTTGCACCGCCCCTTTCGACGATCCCCATTTGGATCTCGACATTGCCGTAACTCTTGACTTGATAAGAAATATTCCTTCAATTAGGAGCCGAGTATCGACGCTTGCACATCTACCGGCGCAGACCTTTTAACTCGACTCGAGGACAGCCTCAGTCGAGAATACGCTTTCGATTAGCTTGAGAGAGAGGGAGAATATCGAACGCGCTCGACAGCAGCATTTACGCGTCTCTGTGATGTGTGAACCATCTCTACCTTGCACTCACGCATATATCCGCGAAATTCGAGTAGTTCTGGTCGAGATTGCGGGAAGAGCGAATTATCCTGCACCCAATGCACGGATTTCACTTATGAACGCTCATTTATCGCGCCATTCGATATGTCTCGCTCGTCAGATCACCGTAACGAAGCTTACACGTTAATGCGGTCGTGAACGGCTTGCGCAAAGGCCGTGGCGCAAGCCGAGCCCTCGTCGGGTGTCTCGTCGGGTCGTAACGGCCATGTTAATATTTGCGCAGCTCGATACAATAAAATTATATATAAAGCTCTCTCGATGGGGCGGAGCGTGTCGATTACGCGCGATCCGAACGAGAAGTATTCCATCAATTACAATTCGAGAGGAACGTCAATATTTGGCCGGACAATAGCGGATTAACTTCGTGAAAGAATTGTTGATTCAACCGATGCGCGCCGGGGGTGTCGACAATTCAAAGTTTATGTCTCATTGAAAATGCCTCGTACACAATTTTATTATATCATTAACGGCCGTATATATAAATTTGCGATTATGCATCGCGAGATTCTGCAAAATTGTAATAATAGGTGAACGCGATAATCGATGTGTCATTTAAAAATGTACCTATATTCCATCGCCAATTCGCTGTTAAGATAAAAGTATCAGTATCTGAACACTAGTGACATTGGTACTCAATATTCGTATGTAACATAAATTTTACTAAAAAGTCTAAGATAACAAATATAACCTCTCACGAAGTGCTTTTTTTTCTTACCTACTGCAGCTTTTTTTCTTATCTCCGATGTTACTTTCAAAATTATTGTTTCTTTTGTATCTTCTAAATATACGGGTAATTCCTCCAAATCCTCTGCAGTAATTATAATTTTCTTATAATATTATTTAGCACAACAATTTAGTACAAAAATAAACAAAAATAATATTATTTTGTACAAAAGTAAACTATTTAGTCCAAATATTTCATATAATAAAACAGATTAGAGATATATGCATAAAATATTTATGTAATTTTGTAAATTCCTGCAACTTGTATGCAACACTAATCAATATTTGCGATAATATTGTATTATTGCAAATTTATTATATTGCAATATTTAAAAAAGCGGACATTTTAACGTTGCTGCAACCCAAAAACAATGTTGCAGCAACATTTCGCAATGAAATCGCAATATTGCAATAGTGCAAAACATTATCGCAATGTTGCTGCAACATTGCTGTACAGTATCGGAATTCATTCGATAGCTTCTGATGAGTAACTGGCGAATTTATAAGAGAAAAACAGAAATGTAAACAAACAATAAAAATTTTCACCGGAATATTCAAACAGAATATTATTATTTTTGTGTACGTGCGCGCGCGCGATTTCAATGACGATAATATTTTAGAGGTAATACGAGACGAAGCAACTATGTTTGTTTTTTTTTTGCGATTTTCTCCAAAACGAAGCAAAAACAAGCATATCTCTAAAGGATTTTTCTCTTAGTTTATCGATCCCCGACAGCTCCCGAAGTGTTAAAATTTAAATTCGGGACACCCTATATATATACATATATTCTCTATTGATGGTTTAAATATTCGTATTTGAAGACGAAAACAATGAATCCAGAATTATATACCGGTGTTATTAGTGTCCAGATATTGGTACTTTTACCTTAATTTCTTCTCCATAACGAACGACGCGATCACGAAAACGGATTTCCCGAGAGTTGGCAGCGAGATTACGATGATTGTAGTCAAATGTCTCGTCTTGATGCGGCTTTCACGTATAAAACTAGTCAAATAATTTAAGAAAATCTTAACTACGTTTGTGCACCAAACTTACGAGCAACCTCCACCTCAGCCATCACCATTTCAAAACAAGTTCAATCGCTAAGTTCCGTTTCCCCGTTCGATCGTATCGAATTTGACAAAAATACCGCGAATATACCGCGAATATACTTTGAAGGCAATAATGTTAACTCGATCAAACCTACACATGCGTTTTTCGACAATACGTAACTCTGTCTAATTAGGGTTCCGCCGCGTGGCTCGAAAGATCTTCGACCGTCCGACGAAACGAAAGGCGTGCGTGACTCCAAGATGCAAAGAACCCTCGATAGGCTCACGCGACTCGATAAAGAAAGGCTTGCCGGAATCTTGTACCGTACTACGTTGGCAATATTAACCATCTTAATTATATAGAAGAAAAAAAAACCCTGAACGAAGTCACTATCGCCATCCTGATTATCCAAGATATATCATATCGCGTGAACTTGACCAAATCATAGCTATCGCAAACGATACTGCTCAGGTTACCGACAAGCGTTGCTGATACGGTACAGGATATCACCTCGGAAGTCGAAGACAGGAGATACCGACGATACCCGGTCGGACAAAGGGAAGAAAGGGAGATTCGCGCGCGATCCTGCGGCTCTTCGCGAGCCCGCGGCGAACCGTGCGGGGTGCGGCTGACCTGTGGAGGCTGCTGCGGTTAGAAGATGTTTCCAGGGCTGCTCGGGTGGCTGCCCTTGGGTGACTGATGGCCAGTGGTACTCACCGGCCGCGGCGGCTGCTTTGCCCGCGTCCAGTGCCCCATACGGCGGTATGCCCATATGAGCAGGTGGAGGTTGCGTCAGGTGGTCCCCGTTCGGGCAAAAGAAGGGAAGCCCGCCCGGATGCGTCCCCGCCAGGCCCATCTTTCCCGCCTGCAAAACGACAGAATGAGCGATCGTTAGTACACGCGCTGGTGACACGTGGATATCTCGCGCGTTCGCTCCAAGTGCAACGATGATTCGTAAGCGAGAACGACCAATTATCTCGCGTGTAATCTCGCGCGTAAGTGAAGACGGATACCGTAGATAAACAAGAGCGTTTTTATTAACGTTCTGGAACAGCAAGAATTTGTTGCATAAGATAAAAAACAAAGGAGAGAATGAGTGAAATATGAACAAACATGATATAACAAAATATCAGAAAAAAAACGAATCTAATTTCAAGGTTTATATCGCGAATTAACTACCCCAATTATTTCAGCGAAATTTTACTGCTCTTTAATCTCTTGTTTGTATAAAACAAACGAGCTCACAATGTAGTTCAATGAAGTCATTCTGGCTTCACGAAGTTGACTCAGCACACATTGTTGCATTATATTTATCGTCTGATTTACTTAATCTTTTATTAGAGACATAAGTACTCGCATTATGCAGTCAGGTATGAAAATAAGGCCATAAAGATCTTATCGACATAAAGACAAAGTCGAACTACCTTTTGGTAGTTGAAACGCCATCTATATCGTAGGTACAACTACGTATTGATTCTGCCAATTTGTCACTGTGAAATTTTGTAGTTAAAATTTCTAATAAGAGCATTGATATTAGACTCAATTTTCACATTGCAGTTCGCATTGCAGTTTCAGCAATAAAATTCGCGGTAACTTCGAGACTTGGCTCTTTTCATCCGATTTTTTCACCTAGTAGAAAAGACAAGGGGTGATTGTCATAGTTGTATGTGAGAATGCGTGCAAGTCGATACGAAGGACGCTTGACACATTACAGCGTTACGCAAATTCCGAGGTATCCAAACGAACATCGTAATCCATCAACGCACAGAGCGTTCGTCAGCGACGCATTAAGTGCACGGTATACATAATCACGTGCATAATAATGAAATCTATCAACTGGGCACACCCACGCCCAACGATCGTTAATTCTTATCTTTATGTCGACGATAATCGCCATCTTATACGCGGCGCACGCTTTATTACGAGTTCGCATGACGCACGCGTGACGCAACATACATGTCGTAGCGCGCAGATACCTCGCCGTGGCAGGACTTACGATACGCCGGAGAACGCGCACGAAAAGTCGTGTTTACGCGCTCGACGATGGCATGAAAGGCGCAAGGATAACGCCGAGAATTTACAGTTGGCGACTCTCGAAAGAAACACGATATCCAATTCGATTCACCCCGAAGGGGAGTGCTTGTCGAGGACCAGTTCAAGCGTTAATTTGCAAAGACGAGACGGGGGTGCGGAGAAGGGGAGAGGCCGTTCGTTCCTCTCGAGGCTCGAGGGTTCCGTTCGACCTTTCCGTCGTCCGTTGGCTTCGACGTATCGTCGAATTCGAGTGGCTCCTCGAGGGTAGTGGTGTAACCCAGCCGCGCTGCTTCTTCAGCCACCTCCTACCCTCTCTGGCCGCTCTTTGTCAAGTGACAGTCGATGAAATTAGTTCAATCTGCTCTCGCGAACTCGCAAGATTGCGCGCCGCTCCTCCCCTCGTCCCTTTCCATTCTCTTCTTCCACCACCTCCATATCTCTTTCTACTCCTCCTTCTCGTCTCGTGGACGATCGATATACAGGCTCTTGAGTGGTTGTCTCTTATCAGCCGCGGTGCTTACCATAAGTGCGGCAGTATCGCGCATCGATCTGACCGCCAGCAGGAGTCCCGGATCGAGGGGTTCCCTCTCCATCCAGGTCAGTACCCTCGAGAGCAGTCCGACGGCTTCCTCGGCGGTGGGTTCGTCCTCGCCGTCGTCGTCCTCGGCAGCGTCGTTGCCGTCCTCGTCCTCGTCGCCATTGCGATCCGACCATTTGTCCTCGACTTCAATCTTCACCCGACACTGCTCCTCGTCCGGCTCTTTCTCCCTAACTAGACGCGTCATCGCGCTCTCTTCGTCGAGAATCCATCTACCGAGTTCCTCATCGCCGACTTCGAGTCCAGCCTCCCGTGCGAGGCTCTGCAATTCGACCAACAACATCCTGTCCTCCTCTTGATCCATCGCGTAGATCCTCGGCGGCAAGATGGCGCTGTTGCTGGAACATGCCGCGAGCGAGTGATCATCGCGGTCGCGTGGCAACGTCCAGCTGCGAGCGAACGTCTCCGATCGCACGCTGAGCCAAGCGCGGTGGAGGTCCGCGAACGCCTCTTTCAGCGTGAATCTTCTTAGGTATGCGTCCAGCCGATCGGCTTCTTCGGACGCCGAATTAGCGGTGAAGTTGTCACGGTAAACACCGCAACGTGCTCTCGATAGTACACCGGTGGCCAGTCGCACCCTCAATTCGCGAACAACCAGTCGCGTCTCCATGCAGTCCTTGGGAACCACGAAGAGCCGCACCAAGCCGTCCGCGGCGACGCAGTCACCCTCTGGCGGCAAGTAATCCGCGCTTTCGGCCACCAGCACGGCACCATCCGGATGCATCGCCATTGCCGTTACGGCGAACTCGCGATGGAACCACCAAAGGAAGAGATCAGCGGTCAAGGACCCCCTGCCGCCACCGGCGTAGACCACAGGTTGACTCAGCATGTTGACCTTTCGCAAGCAACGTGGCCGCCAATGACGACCAGCCAGCAATAACCGCGTCCGATGGTGACCTTCGTGATCCGCCGCCCCCACCACCCACACCCGTTCGCTCCTCGTGTCACGGCTACTGACGTTGACGCTACCGCCGACACCGGCGCCACGCCGTTTACCTGGGAGGTCTCGCCAGTCCAAGTAGCAGACGTGGGCAAGGTATATACGGCTGCGGTCGTAGCTTTCCAGGGTGCTCCTCAGCCTCTCGAGGGCAGACGAGGACGCGTGCGCGACGTCGCAATAACCGCGCGGTGTCGACGTCCGACAGGACGCCGACGAAGTAGACACGGGGGAGGGGAACGGTGACGAGGAGGACACGATGGTGGACAGGGTTGGCGCCGACGTCGTAGTTTCCGTAACTCCATGGAACCCGCTGTTGTCTTGCCTGATCTCTTCCGCGTCTTGACTCGTTCCCAGCTCCCGTTTGCAGACCCTGTCGTCGCCGTGGTTGGTGGTAATCGGCACGTCCTCCGCTTTGATAGCCAATGGATCACTCGTGGCCGTGGATGCGGTAGAGATTGAAGATCGCGCTGGCGACGAGGTGCTGGAGGGTGGCGAAGTCGAACGCCGCGAGGACGCGCAAGAAGACGGCGAAGAGAGCGCAGGCGGCGACGACAACGACGCCGACGAGTTCGAGGAGCCGGCCACGACGTTCTCGTTATTCCTCGTCGGTCGATGTTTCCTCCCCGTCGCGTGTCTCTCTCGTCGTCGCTGCCTCTCCGGGTAACGATGCACCGGGGTACCGTTTTCACGGGGCTCAGAGCTGTTCTCCTGGGACTGGCGCATGCGCCCTGACCATTCCGATCGACCCTCGCACGCCGTGGTTACCGCGGGCTTGTCCATTCTCGTTGTCGCGACTACCGTTCCGCTTGACGTCATCATCGTCGACGTCGCCATCGTCGTAATCGCGGCCGCGCTTGTCGTCACCGTTGTTATCATCGTCGTCGTCGTCGTCATCGTCACTTCTTCGGCTTCCATGGTGTCTAAAGAGGCGTGCTGAGCGCGTGTTTGGCGCCCCTTGGTGGTCATCTTGCCGACACGCGCGCACTTGCCACCTCGAGGCGACATCCCGCGATTCTCACGCGCGATCCGTTCGAGATTCACCGGTAGTACGCTGATGGTAGAGGAAACACACTGCACCGATGGTCGGAAGCTCGAGTCACTAGGTAGACGCGCTCAACGACGAATTCGCGGTGACGATTCCCGAGGAGCTCGCGCTCCTCGTGTGAGCGCGCGCGCGCGAGCTCATCTACGGCGCGCCGGCATCGTCTACAACCGAGCGATGACTGAGCGGGCGGCCGCGACGCGACCGTCAAAGGCCGGAGAGGGAACTAGAAGGCTTTGATGTACCGCCGCCCCGGCGCGCACAAAGCGAAAGCGGCCCCGGCTCGTTGGTTGGCACGGCACGGGGAAGGAGCGGGCAGGGATGGTTAGAGCGAGAAAACGGGAACGCGAGGCCGAGCGGCGACGGCAGCGGCAGTGGCGGCGGCGGCGGCGGCGGTGGTGGCGGCGGCGGCGGCGGCGGCGGCGGCGGCGGCGGTGGTGGCGGTGGAAGCGAGACAGAGGGGGCACCAGACGAGAGACACGTACAGTCGGTTCCTCGTTCGAGCGTCCATGCGTGCGTACCCGGCTGCTCGCCTCATCATGAGACCCGCGACACTCCCGTTCCATCGTTACGCTGCGATTTGGGACTGTACCGCTTGACGACGACGACGACGACGACGACGACGACGACGACGACGACGGCGGCAGATAAGGATTTCCGTCTACGAGGACACCAGGATAGACGTCGCGCATGCCAAGGTCCGTCGCATTGCAATTTCCATGAAACTGATGACGCATTAGGAGTTTCCACATATGGCCACTTTGTTGCGTAAATTCCAAATGCTTATCTTTAGCGGCTTGAGACCAAAATGTACGCGGCTTATCTCTGCCCGGTTACATCTACGTGTCAGGCAGAGATTAGAGACTCGGACGCAAACGATCATACTGCGGTCATCACGTCGCCATTCGTTCCCAGAGAAATTTTGATACACAGAGAAATAATCGAGGTTTCAAATGTGCACATTTTCAAGCCCCAACATAAAACGTTACCTAGCAATCTGACTCTCACTTGGTCCCTTAGTACTCTTCATCCTTCTAATATCTATCTGTACATTTTGTACAATGATAACACAGACAGCGAGAGTATGGGTTTTGTAATTTGTGCAGAAAACAGTGGTCGATAAAGACTTTAGGGAGACAAAATCGCACCAGTACTATAAATTTGCGATTATCAATAATCATTTAGGCATCATCCAGCCGTTTGTTAGCGCTGCTTGCGTACAATGAATTTTCCAGAAATCCGATTGGAGAAGGTCAAGTAGGTAATTGGTTGAGAGATGAAGACGGAGTTGTTTGTGTCCAATTTTCTCCGAGGTTTTAGAAAAGGAGATAGACTGATAATATGAAGGAGAGAAAAGGGAGAGAGAGAGAGAGAGAAATATAGCAGTAATGACAATTAACGAGCATACGCTAAATGTCACTTCGGGTAAATCCGCGACGCCGTATGTACATCATCGGCGACCGGCTGGAGAGATCTTACCCGTGCACGAGACCTGAATGCGGGCCAAAGTCAACTAAATATACCGATCCATTTGGCCGCATAATGGCGACGGGTGTGTTTGGAGAACGCTTCTGGTAGCTCGCGCAAAACAAGTTAGTCCACAAAGAGGCGCAGATTTGTTTCGGCGTCCCGTGTTAAAAGCACAGCTTTTCCGCCGGTGTTTGTTCAGGCTGTTTATCGCGCGCTAAACGCAGGATCGTTGACACCCGATCCGGGGCGCCGTAATCAGAACAATCCCAATCGGAAAAACAACGCTTCCGCTGAATTATACTCGCGATTAATCAAACTGTCCTCGCTCGGCCATCCGCCGAGTGACTAATTTTATGCAGCCAAAGAGAAAGAACGAACTTTGAAGTCTTGCATTCCTTACACACAGTCTGAACATTTTGTCCTATTAGCATCCAGCAATTTGGGAACGAGAAGATTCCATATTGATACAACTGAGCTCGACTCGTACAGTTACTTTTGTTTACGTCGAGTGATTCCGGAAATTGCGGCAAAATTGAACTTTCTCGTGAAAATTTCCTAGCGATTCGGACACTTCCTGAGACCGGTGCTCTTCCTCAATTAAAGGTGCATCGAGTTAACGATGTGAACGGAGACGGGGGGGAGAAAGAGACGTCGGGATTAATATTACAAATCGGATTTAGCCTTGGGCGCTGGCCGCGCACATGATTATCGGCGTGTCGGCATTTCATAAACGCGTCCACATCAAACGCAGCGGGTCGGTCGATCGCGATAATATTTGTCACGTAGTTGCGGTACGCGGCGGCAGGCGTGTGCACCGCGGCTACACGGTAATCGATCGGCTATGCCAGCCAGGTAGGTACTATGCGTGATTACTCTCAGGTACGTCGCGCGCTGTCTACATGCCCCCGGACTTTTACGGCAACGCGCGTAGTTTTGATTCAGTGTTCGATCTATCGCGTCGCCGCGATCAACGATTCCGGCTCGATCACGCGACGAAATTCACCGACACGGTCGCGCTTTTCAGGCCAGACACTCCATTTATGTACACTTGGATAATTATCCTTTTTAGCTTGCATACAATCGTAGAGATTGCACAATCAGTGTCACAGCAGAAAGATGGCACAACATTTATTTCTTCGATAGATTTCGCAACCCATACGTGTCTAGTAGAATTTGTTTTCTAACCGTCCGCGGTACAATCATATTTTTTTGGGTATACGATATTTTGAATTGCTATAATTTTTTGTTGGAAGTCAACACTTTTTGGCACATTTTTTTTGTATAAAAAATGTCAAGATTGTAAGATAGTAAAATCAATATTTGCAATAAAATCAAAATTTGCAACTAGATTTGCGGCTCACGCATATTTTGAAATTTTTGCAGATCCTTTATGAAAGCTGATAAACGATCAAATATTCATTTGGGTCTCACAACATTCCAACATTGTACGCGGAAGATTAATAATTCTCAGAAAATAAAATTCTGCTGCACGTACAAAATATTCTAGTGAAAATTACGTTAAATTACACTCCTTTTTAGAATAATTTTTGCAAAGTTGAGCTGAAATTGCAGTATAAATTAATATACTGAGAGAAAAAAATATCCGGTGAGTGTATTAATAACATATTTACTTATGCACATATATTTTTTCAAATAAAAAAACAGAGTATTTCTTCAAATCTTAGCTTGTCACGAAAGCAATTGTTTATTTAAATTAAAAAATTTAGATTTAAGTAAATATATTCTTAACACTCATCGAATATATATTTATTTTTTAGATGCTTCTCTCTATATATACAAAAATAGTAAATTTAACAATCTATCGAATATACGATATACAAATCACTCAATTACAATAATTTTGTAGTGAAAAAAGTCAAACGTATATAACATAATATACACTATAAAAAATTTAGTGTACACAGTACGTGAACAAATGTTCCAAAAAGTTTATTCTAAATTTTGTGTCGAAAATGACTTATTTATATGTTCATTCGTGTTATTTACATTATATATAGACTAGTACATAATATAAATAACATACGCAGGAACACATGAATGAGCTGTTTTCGACACAAAATTTAGAGTGGACTTTTTGGAACATTTGTTTACGTATTGTGTACGCAAGATTTTTTACAATGTAAAGTAAATATGTAACATAATATAAAGTAAATATAATTTAAACAAATATAAATTTACAGTGATCTTGATCATAATTTTTGTACGTTTCAAGATTTAAAAAAATTTTGTAATTTTTACTAGAATATTTTCCCCGTGATACCGGATATGTTCTAAATGTTATCGAGGATAACATTCTATATGTTCATCGAGGTCAAAGTGTCGCGCGCTCTCTTCCACTGATCTGAGAATCTCAGATTGATACACGAACAGCAGTGACTCCAAACAACATCGGAACACGAATCCAAATGCGAGAGATGTGAAATTGAGAATGCGGGAAGCGTTGCGACTTTGCGGCGGCCTTAACTTCGTTTTCCTCATATAGACTCCACTGGTTCCGGCTCTTCGCTCGTGTTTCCGGTACCTCGGTCGTAGTGACGATTCGCGGAAGGCCGTCCGCTCTCTCCCCGTGATTTACATATAGGGGGCACACGTTTTATCTCGCGCCTCCGGCTTTCTTTTCGCGACTGGCCGGCGCACGTTTCGCGCCTTTTTATCGCGAGCGCACCGGGGCGAGTTCGAAAGTTGGGCAATCCCGGTATCAATTAACGCCCGGGATGGAAACTAGCCGGGCTCGTTCCTGACTAACGATTTTAGAACGCCGCACAGTCGGCGCTGCCGTGTAACTGTCGTCGTATCCGCCTCTACATCGTACGGGTCCCCCTTTCTATGACTGCGCGATCGTGAGCGTGGACCTCCATCTCTCCCTCTTTCTCGCTTTCCGTACGTGTACGGGTTTCCGTGTACGTGTAGCTTTTAATTGGGTTATCTGTCCCGGAACGCTGTCGTTACGGACCCGATATAGAGCGCATTTCCATGTAACGCGACCCGGACGAAACATATTTTAAAGATAGCGCGCGCGACACGCATACGTGTCTTTTTCTCGCGGCGTTTCTTTGGAGCACGGATCTCGTAGCCTTTCGGGTCTACTGAGCACGGTCACTTCCGTGTAATCGAATTATCGCGCGATAAGGACACCTTTGGCCTACAGCTTTAAGAATTAGATACGGGCGACGTTTGGGAGCGCGCGAACGCAACGCGAGCGAAACGAGCAGCCGCTCGGTGTCGCGTGCAAATTCGCGCGATATTCGACGCCACGCTATTTACGAGATAATTAAATATACCATTAAATATCGTGCGCGGGAAACGATACGTTTGTCGCGTAATTTACACGCTGGACTTACTGTAAGTGATTATAAACGACTGTGTGTGAGATATTTGCAGCCGCGCGGGTCGCGAGCCGCGGTCGCTCCAGTCTCTCTCTCTCTCTCTCTCTCTCTCTCTCTCTCTCTCTCTCTATTTGTCTCTGTCTGTCTCTCTACTCTGAGGTCTTCGTCGGAATACGCGCAACGAAAACCGATACCTTCCGACCGCGAGAACTGGATACCAGCAGGATCCGACGCGAAACGCGCGGGGTATTATCGATCGCGACTCTCTCGCAGGACGAGCGGCGCGGATATAATCGAATTACCTGGCGAATTTGCGAGAAGGGCGGTCGAGACCGATTCGAAGTTTCGGGTGTTCCTCTCTCCCGGCTGCGGCAGGCAGACAGAGCCGAGAGAGTCGCGAAGAGCGTCTCTTTCCCTCTCCCTTCTTCGCCAGCTCGTCGACGGCGGACGGAGGGAGAGAAAAGAGAGGGACCGAGGGAGTTTACCATCGATTTAACCCCCTTCAGCCA